TTGAGCACTTTTAATCGATAAATGTGGGAACTCCAACAATGAAAACTTTCAAATCAAGACAATCAACAGAATTAAATAAACATAATAATTTATGAAAAGTACGTATTTAATAATAATAATGACCTACTGTAAGTGTGACCCAACACTTACCTTTTCTCGACCTTGATCAGAAAAACCATTCCTCATGATCATCATACCTCAACAGTGCTTGATACCTCAAATGCTTGATGATTTTTTTTTCCATGACGAAAAATATTTGCAATTCCTCAAAATTAACTCCGATTTGACAAGCTATTTATAATATCAAATTATGCTACAAGGATTATTTTTTCACTGGAATCAGTTTATAAAGTTCTTCCAAATGTTGAGCAAAACAACACCAAAATTCAGAAATATTTTTGAAGAGCCAAACCCTACTGTAGTCCATCTTTTGATCAAGAGTCTTGTCATAGTAACCAGCTAGGGATCCAATTATTTCCGGGTTGCATATCATTTTATTGAACATAAGCATCATTTCTTGGGGATCAACTGCACGTTTTCTTCTTTTCAGGTCTTCAACTAATGTAAAATCTATTTCTTTTGAGGACTTTGGCACACGCACACCTCGTTTCTGCCTAAGTCCTGTCGTGCAATATTTGGGGGATTCCGGACAATATGTTGCTATGCTTGATAAAAACAATTCCACATTTTTTCCCTCGAGTAAAATGTTTACAGCATTCAATATACCCTTCAACAACATACTGGAGGTTTGACCTTTGAGAGTGTATCGAATGTACAAAAGACCTTCCCGAAAATTCCATATGTTATTTGAGCCACATAAATTTTCAAACAACATAGAGGACATCTTTCCTTCCAAGCAGGTTCCTGTATCTGCCTTGTTCAATTTCTGAACACTCGAAACTATTTTTGCAGCTGCACCAATAGCTGCTTCAATCATTTTATCTCTGTATTCCCCTGGAAAGTCCCTAGTTTGAGCACAGATAATGTAGTGTGCCATAATAACAGATCCCTTCAATAGACTATTTGCATTATGTGTTGATAAGCCAAGGGGCCAATAAGAATCACCAGTGCAGAGATAGGCTTCCAGGATTTTAGCAGGTATTTCTGCGTCAAATGAGGCTCTGAAACAAAATAATAATTAGTATTAGGGCACTTTCAAAAACTATGTTAACGAATCTGTCACGGGAAAAATTTCAACTTCTAGAAGCTCTCATTTGGTGGATATACTCAATATTTTGATCAAACTGTGCGACATCTACAGATTTGCGATAGTACAACTTTTACAAAAAGAATAAAATGTCTACTATGTCTATGAGCAGAGATACATGCATTTAAATCCGGGCTAATAATGGTGGATATACTTTTCAGAGGGGTTTGGTGGATATATCATTGATTGGCCTGTAACTTTACGTGTGGTTAATTTATGGTGATTATTTAAAGATAGAATTGTAGCAAATCGATTTTCCTCTATGATAAAAGGCAAAAATAAGGAAAGATTTCAAATTTAAGGCTATATATGGTGGATAATAAAACTATGAAATAAAATTCAATACCGAAAATTTTCAACTGAAAAAATTATACTGGTCAACAAGTTCATCAGCTTTACTCAGTGAACGGATCAGGTTGGAAATCGTTTCAAGTTTATGATAGAATAGAAGATTTACTTTCTAGGCCATTTTTGGTGGATATACTGGAGCTTCAAGATTGATTTTATTTTAAAGTCAAATTCTGTGTCAATAATGCAGGTTATCCATTGTTAGACCCCAATTATCTTGTCTATAAGCTGAAAATGCTTATAATTATTACTCTAGGGCCATAACGAATGGATATAGTTTCATACGAACTTAACAAACTTTGAACTCCTTTCAGCCTTTAGAGCCGTTTTTGGTGGATAAAAGCACACAAACGGGAAAATTTGCTTTTTTATCCACTATATTTGGCCCTAGATGTGTTCTATCATGAAACTACAACTGTTTCTAGATAGAAGATCCCCTTTGCTGAGTCAGTTCAAAAGAATTTTCATTCCAAGACAACTGCGCTCACCGTGTAGCCTTGTAATACAAGTTAAGTACATCATGGAGTTGGCCGATATGGAATTATTCAAAAGGTTAAAATTGGTGGATATTAAATGTGAATAACCTACCTCAGTGATTGAAATAACGATTTCTTGACTTATAACGTATGTGATCCACTTTCAACGCCCAATAATTATATCTTAAGGTCGAAAGAGCTGAAAATCATTGCGCTGAGGTCGTAAAGAAGGGCTATAGTTTAAAGTAAACGTTCCAAACATTCTCCATTTAGGGCCGTTTAAGAAATTAGCTTAAAAACGGTTAAATTTGCTTTTTTATCCACTATTTCTGGCCTTAAATTTGCTCAATTATGAAATCATACACTGATATTGGTTTGTTTAGACCTTTTTCTTGTTCAGCACAAAATGTGATAAGCTCAAGCCGAATTTTAAGGCCAAAATTGATGGATATCAAAATATCCAGGTCGATATTTTAAGTATTTTTGAGTTAATTATCCACCAAATTGGCCCTGAATGCTTAAAATGCCATACGACCTTATGCATAAATGTTCAACATCCTATAATTCATCTTTTTCAACTGTATCCAATCATGATGATGTCTTATTTATTGATATTTTGGTAACATTTACGTGTTTAACTAATTAATATTGACAGATATCCACCAAAAATAGCCTTTTAACTTGAATTTTGTACTTTATAGTTGATGCCATAGATTTAACATTACCTTTGCATCATTTTAAGACCAGTAAATTGATGTTAGCTAACAAATAACAGTTTTAAAAAAGAGGTTAAAAAATATATCCACCAAATTTGCCCCTTAAGAAAAATCGCAGCCCTTCTTATGAGATTGTGAAGTTATAACGATTATTTTTAAGTCTCAATCATATTTTAGGAGTTTAAATGGAATTAAATATTTTTAAAGGCCACCTGAAGTGGATTGGTCTGTTTCACTTTTATCCACCAGATTTAGCCCTAAATCGAAACAAAAAGTGGCAGAAAGCAAAGGTTAGGGTATTGCACACCATATCCTGGAGTTTCATCCCGTTCCAAAAATTATCCACCAAATTATGCCACAAAAACTGATTTTTGGCAAATTTTAACATTTTTTCCGTGACAGATCATGTTTTTGAAAGTGCCCATTATTATTTTTGATGCGCTTTTCTTCAATGATGTGATTATTCTTGTAATTTTACTATTACAAATACAATTGAGGCTCTAATTAGATCTCACAAACTGACACTAGAAAACCTCAAAATGATCTCCAAAGTTGATCGAAACAAACAGATCAAACTTGAATTTCAATGTGTAATATTTAGAGTGGACATTGATTCAATTGTTAGCTATTAAATATTTGATAATAATCTCATTAACCAACCGTGAGTGCGGCAAAATTAAGCTGATGATCATCCAAGTTGTGGCACTTGTAAGTCCCATGATTGATGGCTGCTAAACATCGATCATACTAGGCTGTGTGGCATGCAAATGAAAACTAGAAATGGGATAATCTTAGAACTACAGCTGTACGAAATTGATCTAAGATCTGAAAACGAAAAGTTTATTAAATTCTATATCTATAATTTACACTTACAGCTGCAATTTTTGTCTATACTAGCACCTGGAATCTGGATAGTGCTAATGAGGTAGTCTACTTTAACTTCAATAGAAATTTCAAATAAAGGAGAAAAACAACATCACACTTCACAGATGGTCTCTGGTCAGTCTTGAAATAACTGCCAACTTTTGAATTGATACCTAGTATTCTTTCGTAATAGTTTTTGTTTTGCCGATTGCCATCTGGTGCCCCGTTAACGCAACATTGAACAGCTACAGTATCATGATTCCTTGACCCAATCACATTTATTGTGCCAGGTTACTATACCGGTTTAAAGCTAGAGCAATTGACGTAAAAAGTGACACGTTAACGACAATATTCTGATCGTCAGTACTTCCGGCTCGATCAGTTTGTTTAACCATAATAAACTTGTTTAGTCAATTGATTGTAAACATCATATTCTAAATAACCTTAAAAGGGAGCGAAAGGACAGGAACAAAGAAACAGCCACAAAGGACTGGGGATTAGTAAGTGTCCAGTGCTGGTTCAATAACAACAGCTATTTTAGGAAAGTCACTTTCTTGTAATTCCAAAGTTCTCATAGGTTGGAACAAAGGGCTTCACAGCCAGAGTTATTGCAGAATCCACAACTTTTGAAGAATTCACGAAATTTTTGTAGACCTGTAAGTTACCTGAGTCGTTCTTAGTTGCACCTGCACTGTCTGGCATTGACTTGGTAATTTTCCAGGGGCCGCCAGTTTGAGGTACTGTGCTAAAGCGACCAGGATGGGCCATCTTGCACAAATCGAGCTAATTAACTTAATTTTTGGGGGAAAAGGAGAGGCCCAGTATATAGTATAGAGGTTTGACTGTAATATATACTGTAATATATAATACAAAAGACTAGCATCGTACGGTACTTTGTTCTAAAATTATAAATCTAACACTAAATAGGATGAGCAGTGTTTTGTGGCGTCATTTTAAGACAAATAGGACTCTATAAGTCTGTGGACCCGCTCATTCGAAACGAAAGGAGTTTTGTTCGAGAAACTAAAACTTTCATATAATTTGATGCTTCAAGTTTTGATATGCAATATAAATCATCCTTTTTTACTGGAGGGGGTTCTGGAAACAGATACGATATTTAGTTTCAGAAGCTTATAAATAACATGTGTTAACTGTAAAATAACATATTATGTTAATCTACTCCGGCTTATTATTATGCTGTCTTATTCAGGCAGCATTCTAAGGCAGCATACTATAGCATATATGTAATTTTAATTTTAATGTTAAATAAATGTCTGTTGATTAAAATCTGCTCATTACAAAGAAGGTCGTTTCATTGCACAAGAGCTGTTCAAATCCAAAATAATATATTCTTACTCCGACCTCATTCATCTTACATCCTTTTTAATGCAGATTTTAGTGTGAATGTGTTTTAATGTGAATGTGTTACGCCAAAGATTTTAAAGATATGCCGTCTTACGCCGTTGTTACGACGACAACCAAGTTGCCGATTGCTGCAATGATGAAAGGGCCTGGCCCTGCCAAATACGGACTACCTTCTTGTTTAGGTTTGTGAGACGAGTAATTTATTATCACTGTAGCTGTTCATGATTATATCACAGAAAATATAAACTGTAGCTGTTGTTCACTCCTAACAAATTATTATTAATTGAGCAGAAATTAAATTGAGCAATAATCCAATGATCCTAACTTCAGGTCACCCTGGACATGATATCAGAAAGTCCAAATCACCAGCCTTCTCGTTTGGGCGGCGATTAAAGACCGTAACCAGCAGTGACAGTCCGGGGCCCGCCTATATGTTTCCTGCTCGCATGACGCGTCAGGGTGGGGACGGTGCTCCTGCGTACAGCTTACATGGCAGACCCAAAATGGCCAAACCTCTAGCTACTCCTGCACCAGGTATACATGCTCTAGTATAGGGACTAGGCTGTTTATTGCTGTGCTGTGATTATACAGTGTTTCATTACATACAGCAACGTTCTCATTTAGATCCTTGCTTTTCTAGCTTATTTCGAATTGAACCTTTTTTGCTTTCTCAACTTATTATCAATCAGTTTGATAAACTGCCTAAAAGCTGATAAAATTTATAAGATTTAGAAAACTGATCATTGTGGTCCGTATTACATGACCTACGTGTATTATAAGTGTTCATGTTTTTTAGAAATACTGGGAATATTTCTGTGCATACCAGCTAACTAATATGATTGTTTTCTGCAGCTGGCCAGAGGATTTTGATAATGTGTCTCTATATTATGGATTACTTGCTTGCTGGAATGGCATCTTCAGGGCACACGAGATAGCATGCTCCGTTTAGAACATCTGGCGTAAATAAACGTACTATATTATGTCAATGTGCTTAAGGAATACGGTCATGGCCTATGAAAGCCGAAAAGCTGTAGTTATTCATTGTGATCACTGATCACTTTCATGATCTTTTGCATATAAGCTTGAGTATAAGCTGCACTCGAAAAAATAAATATGCAATGCAATGGCCAATGTTCATCATTATGTTTTTCAATTTTCATGCAAAATCATAATTAAATAAGTAAATATTATAAATTCCAATGTGACCTGTCAAAAGCTCCAAATATTGCCAGTGATGGAAAAGTTTATCACATTTGTCCAATATTCGACAGGTCACATGTGAAGCTACTTGTCCAGAATATAAATTCTAGAATAGAAGTTCTAGAATAGAAGTTCTAGAATAGAAGTTCTAGAATAGAAGTTCTAGAATAGAAGTTCTAGAATAGAAGTTCTAGAATAAAAGAATAGGGGCTTCGAAATCGGCCGCAAATATGATGACCACACGTCACCATAGTTTTTTGTAAAATTGCCAAATGAGGGCGGGGTCTGAAAATAACAAAATCTTGCTGTCGTTATGTGTAAAAGTCCATTAAATAACAGTGGTTCTCATCAGTCACCATGTTTCAGGGCATTATAGACCGGAACGGAGACGTAACAGTGCTTCTGGCTACTCCTTCGGAATGAGGACTAAAACCTTCACCCACGATAGCACGCCCTCTCCCAGTGCTTACACTATACCATCGTATGTTGGTAGTGGAGGTAAGTTATTTTGGGTATTCCAGTTGAATGTTCTGGTCTGAGTGGGTAGAACTATATTGTAAGATTAATTAAAGGTTAATTGTCTATTTTTTGGTTGCAATTAACATACTGTTTGTAGTTGAAAACGATAAATATTTTAAAGCTCCTGAAATAAACAATTAAATCTGTTGTATTATTCAATTATATGTTTCCAGAGCGTTCCTCCAGAGCAGTTTGTAAGTTATTAGTGCCATGTGATGTGTTAAGTGAAGCCACTATTGTTCGCTTTACGAACGTATTGGTTTGCGGTATAATAACTTGCACAATCACTCATTTTCTCGTGATTATTAAGACTGGTTTTAATGCTGCCCAACTATAATGAATTGTTTGCATGTGCACAATTTGATGATAAGATGATAACTCCACATTTTAAACAGAGCTTAACCACAGTTCATATTTTAACAGCAATCTGTCGTGAACAGTCTGTACAGTGTACATTAGATAGCAAACAGGAAACTATTATTGAAGACTGTCGTGATGTTATAGGCTTTTAAAGTACTTATTGTGGCCTATATGCAAGGGATCGTTAAGTGATAAAGCAATGATATGAACAAGCAGATCTCAAATGTGTTATACAGTTGGATGTAAGATTATAATATGCAAGTGTTTGTGCGAAGGTCACTTTTCACAAGTGTGTCATTTTAAATGGTTATGTTCTTGAGATAGGGCTAGTTTAATAACTTTATTAAAATCCTGGCAGATCTCCAACTCATCTCCATGTCATTTTGTAATGAAGAGCGTGAGCCGTGAATTTAAGGGTAATCGTACTGTAGTGCGACACGTACTCTAGTGCGACACGTACTCTAGTGCGAAGTCCGACAAAAACACCCTCTGTCGCACTACAGTACGTGTCGCACTACGATCCAGGTAGCGTACTCTAGTGCGAAAAAATATCCTGACTTTTTTCCAAGTTCAGGTCACATCCTATCCTTCTTATGGACCATTAAGTGATTCGTCGGGTCGGTTCACGTCACTTATTTCGAAGTGATCCACTGATCATAATTCCTTCGGGTCAGTTCGAGCCACGTATGCAGTGTGTGATCCACTGGGTAACTCGTAAGCAGCATATGATCCTCATTCCTATCACACGCATCGTATGAAGGTATATCTCCGATTGGGATAACAAGTTCATATGCTTGGGCCATATATAAGGTCACGATGATTCTACCAAAGCAGCGAACAGCCTCGGAGATGGGTTCCTTTGCTTGTTGTTGTGTTGTTGTTTGTATATGGACCGATTACGACCGTCGCTTGAACGCTGTGATTGATAGCTACGATGATTATGACAGAATGGATTATTTGAAGTGTGTTGGAACAATGATTTTGAATTGAATATTGTGATTGTAATCTTTGATTTTATATTTAACCTCATCATTCACGACTACACTCTTGTCATTAAAACTTAAAAATGGAAAGTCAAATTTTTATCGAATGTGTAAAGTGTGTTGTCGGCTGTCGCACTTTAGTTCGTGTCGCATTACAGTCCAGGCAGCGCACTGTAGTGCGACAGTGTCGGCCTTGAAAATTCTCTGTCGCACTAGGGTACATGTCGCACTACAGTCCAGGTAGCGTACTCTAGTGCGACAGTGTCGATCTTGGAGGTTTCGCACTAGGGTACGTGTCGCACTAGAGTACGTGTCGCACTACAGTACGTGAACCGAATTTAAGCACTATATCTATTTATAGCCTCAAGGTGTGTCCAAACGATTTTCAGTTTAACTGTTAAATACTCACTGTCAAGAATCCTTTGATGATTGTTATAAATGGTTGCCAAACCTCTTTGATGTATTTTAATTGATAACTTTTACATTTAACCTATGCCCAAGTTCTTTCAGCTCGCTCATCTGCGCCTGCTTACTCCATGACCGGAAGAAGCAAAATTGGGAGCTTCCACGAGGACTTGAGACGGGTAATTTTATTTTGAATTTTATAATATCTTTAACATTATTGCTTTAACATATATTGTGTAGATAAGAAGTAATCGGTATTTTAAGTTAACAACTTTACAATATATAGCAAGTACTAGATGCTGACATATCTGTGGATTTACAGCAAGTTTCCTTATCTGACATAAGTGGAGCATCGCTAAAACGACAACATAGAATAGACAGAATATATTTTCTTTAATTGTATGGAACATGTTAGAAAGACTGCTCCTAAAACAATAAGGTCATCACTTGTGCATTCCTTTATGTATGATAATGATTGGTTGCCATGGTGTATTTCGAACCAGGCCTAACATTTAACCATATCATATTTCTACATTAAGATTTAGTATTGATGTTTAGTATCTGGCATCGCCGGTGCAGGAAACTGTTAAGTATCACAACCAAATTTGAACCTAGAATTTTCCAGAACAAACAAAATTCACATTTATATGACACAAACGTGAACCTCATACGCTTAAAAAATTGGTTGGGGTCGGGTCTTATTTGTTACTTTGCTATTGCCTAATTTTCTCAAATGGATTGCCATGAAGCCGTATAAATGATGCATTTTCAGGGAGCATATCAGATTCTGAATGAGTTGTGAATGTAATTTTTCAGTGCCATTTTCCACAGGTTTATTCATGGGTATGACGATACTACTGTCTGTAGATATATTTTCAAAGAATCGGCATCTTTACTCACAATGATTATTCACAGATCTAGTTCTCGTAACCATATTATGTTATTGTTGTATAAATCTACCCTATGAACGGCCTTAGATATTAATGACCTTCCCATTGATCTAATTGAATACGGTTGACCTTAAAATAACCCGTTTCCATAGGAACAGTGGTATGCTCAGATTATTTAATATTTATGTTGGAGCGCGCGTTGCAACTTTTATAAACAAAATGCAAGTTGTAAAGTTTACTGTAACAGAAAGTTGCAGATTGACGCGGCGCGTAATCCAAGTGCTGTTTGTAAACTGGATATGTATGTTTAACTTCGATGTGAATTCCAGTTTTGAAGTCTACTATATTTCAGACCCCGGGACCTGGTTCATATAAAACTATCATACCTTCGGTCTACAAATACAAGAGCCCAACTTACTCGATGAATGGAAGGAACTATCTTCCTAATGATGCAACAAAGAAACCCGGACCAGGGACTTATACACCAGAAAAAGTAAGTCTTGTTTCAATTCTACATACTACATAGCCTTTTAAGAAATTACCTTGAAGGCCCCCACGCCAGGTTTCAATTGTTGTTACATCACATTGAAATTATTCAACCCACTTAATTTGCAGGTAGTAGTTAACAGAGACATAGCCCCGAAATTCTCTTTCGGAGTGAGGCATTCTGAGTACATGGCCATGATGCCAGCGTGCAGGGAATAGCGATACCATTACCAGATACCATTATAGATTTATAAATATATAGATCTTGCAATTTTAATGCTTCAGAATTTTGTTTTCTTTTTAGGAAAATATCTTGCAATTTTTATCATTAGTTTTATTTTATATGAACGAAGTCTATTGACATACTAAGCAGCTCATTTCACAGTAAAACCCCGATTAATACCACAGAAGTTGGGGAAGGCAAGCTGCACGGTAGATCCATGTTTTAAAATTGAGAGTCACAACTGCCTTACTGCCAGTCAGATCACGTGGTTTCGGCACAGTTCAGGTGTCCAATCAAGGACTTCTGTAGTTCATTGGAGCACTCAAGAAACTTGGGTAGATTCGTGAACTCAGGGGCCTGGCAAGCTTGATGGACACGTCATGGGGCTGTGAAAAATCATGTGATCTGTAAACTTGGGGAAAGAAATAATGTGATGGGAATCGGCGTTTTACTGTGTATGAGTCACGTAACTCAGACTGTCACGATTGAAAATTGATGATGGTTCTTTTAGTTTTATAGATTACATAAGATTTAATAGGTAGATTATTTTTCTGTAAATTACTCTAATTTATAGTTTTATCATAGTTTTATCAGAGTGGGCCAATAGTCAGGTGACGTTTGGTCGGATCTAAAAGTGCTTGTAAATACTATTACTATGTAAATATTTTGAAAAATATCTAATCTTGCACACATGACTAAGAAATTGTTTTATTTTTCAATACTTACATATCAAAAGAAAATGACTTGAGTCTTGAACCAGTTCCAGAAATCACAAATATAGATCTTTGTCCGGTGTGGGACTAATTTTTTTCTTTTCTGTAAAATACGAGCCAACTATAATGTATCTGTAACAGAAACGGCTCTCTAAAGTCCCATCTTATTAAATACGGTGATAAAAATAAAACACGCTTTTAAAATTTAGAACAGCAATGCGGATATTCGACAAAAATTTTAGTCTTAACAATCACTTTTACTTCTGACAGCACTCGGCGAGTTGGTGACTTGGGCGCACCGAGCAGCAACTCTAATAACGTGCAACATTTTCAGCTTTAAAATAAAATAACTAAGAGCGCCTGGCGAGCAAAATATAACTCATTTTATCAATAAAAATTCCGACATAAAAACTTATAAATTGTTAAAAGCAGTGTATGTGCCCTTTTTTCTGAAAAACAATCATCCTCATAGCTAATCACTAATCACTAATAACAACCAGCGAATCTTCTAGATCCCCAATATCCGAACACCCTAAATCTACCACTATCTAACTAGAAAGTTAAGGAATGTATAATACATAAACAGGACTGGATTATAACAATCACATTAAAAGTTTTGAGCTGTATAGGAAGACACTGTGAAACATTGTGGAACCGATCTTCTCCGGTTTTTATAACCTGTAATCAGGGTGATGCCGCAAATTTGATATTTCGGTCATTAGGGTTATACTGCTAACTGCACTAAAAGTTGACGCCAAATATGTCGTCAAATTTGAAATCGAGTTCTAAATATACGTAAGTATTGAATGCTGAGATAAGATACATTTTCTTGTGGATTGTATTAGTGATTAGCAGCTGGAAACGCTACAACTGGATTCGTGGATTTTGTGGGTTACAATTAATAAGATTTACAATGTTTCACAGCTAAAATACATGAATGTAATACGGTACTATTTCATATTTAAGATCATAAATTCTAAGGAACTAATTTACAATAATAATGTAAATCTTTTAATCTATCTATAGTTTTTAGCGAATGTAAACTGTATAGGGCCGAAGAGTACAAAATTTACATACATAAAACGTAAGCCAACATTATATAATGACCCTATTAGTAAATGATACAGCATACTACATCTAAATTTAAAAACAATAAATCTCAAAATAGAGATGTCGCTCTAACAAAAAAAGCGTATTATTTCATCACGAAAGAAAAGGTCCTCTGAGTCTGCAGAGCCATCGAGTGACAGCTGCATTTTCAGAGAGAATTCACTTCAATATCAAGCAAAATATAGATACATTTTAATGCGCATACTACAAGTATCGCTAAGTATCTTGGAGCGGTAATATTGAATAACATATATTTGAACTGCACTGTTTGAATAACGGTAAAACGGTTGCAGCATGAATAGTAATAGTAATAATTTAAAACTTATCTTCAGAGAGAATAAAAAGCTGTTCCAAAAGCACTCTTTTTTAGATCAAAATTCCGGTTGCTCAACAACAAAGATGTCCTAACAGAAAAATCGTGAACAAATAACAGCCATTACTTCAGCTAACAATATCCAATCTTAACGCCCCAGACTACCCTAGAGGTCAGATGATTTCAGTCGTTTCCTAACATGTCATTCCACATGGAATAGGATATTTCCGAACCACAGACATATTTTCCTGAGGCTTGGAGCAATCCTCCGCTGGGGTTATCTCAGTTTACACTACAACTAAAGTAGAATGGGACGTTATCATTCGGCTCTGACAAGAACAGACACCAACCCTCACATTTGCAACACTCCAATTCAAAACAAAACAAGATCAAAGTACATCCAAAAACGTTGAGGATACCTTCCATTTTATCGTGAAAACATTCTTTGCATATGTGCATAGTAGAAGTCTTAAGTATATCAAAGAATACATGCAAGCGTGTATAATACAGTTTCGTCTGTAATTGTATAGTTAGTGTGCAAGTTAGAGTTCTCCACACGCGGTCTGTGACGTCATAGCAATGCGTCACGTGGCGTGACGTCAAGGTAACCATGGCAATTCGTCACGGTAACCATGAATAACGCGTGATATTTGAGCTGATTATCCGAGGAGGTTAGTCATCATATCACGAGCGTTGTTCCTCAAGTCAGAGGCTTCTCCTATCAGCTCAACTGAAATGATACAGAGTTAGGCGGAGAGGTTAGTCAGAGACACTGCCGTACAAGGTCCGTAGGTTTGAGAAAGTGACCTTATCAAAACCGTTCATGAAATCGTTTTAGAAGTATTTATTGCTTTAAATCGATAGCTTCAAGCTTTCATCATTCAGCAATTAATAAATTTAAGGGTTGCTTTTGAAGTGCGTCACTGTGACGTCACCATGACCTTATCTTAAAATCTGAATAACATGAGATAAAATTAATAACTGAAATGGAAAGAAAGTCGCGGATTTCAAAAAATTAAAGTTCCATAATTTTTGGGACAAATCAAAAGTGTGTACACCCTCACTCATACGGCAACCATATTTTTCCGGACGTGTGGAATTTACCACATTATCTGTCGATCAATGATAAACTCACATCACCACCATTGTAACCATTGACTACTCAATTAGTGCCAACTCCCGGTTAATATTTAGTCGATAAAATTGATTGTTAAAGTAAGTAAATTAATTAAAGTAATATTCTTAAACATGAGCATAATGATAAATTGCACCATTTTTACTTACAAAAGTAAACTTCTCGCCATAATGACAAGAATGGGGTGTGAATCTTGGCATATAAGTATAAGTTATACTTATATGCCAAGATTATACTGTATAACTGTTGTTTCGGACAAAGGATAATATTATTAAATATGGAGGACTAAACTAGGATATGCGAATTTCGCTGGGAGAGTGCTATTTTATAAGTTTTCAACCGAACGCGAAGACAAAGAAGCAGAACTTGACGAAAAGTCTGATACTATAAAAGTCCCCATGCTCGCATCTCAATTCCAACAGTTATCTGTTGCGGAGGCCTACCGACAGTTGCGCCCGTTTCCCACACCTTAACAGGCCATTAACAGGTTCCCGATCAGTGACGTGATCTGATTCGCCATGTCAGATTCTCAAAACGTCAGTTGCACCCAAGACCCAAGTGCAGGTTAAGTTCGACTCCCAAAGTTGCACTTAAATATTTTTGTGTGTTCTTAAATCATGCAACTTAAGTTAAAAGACTCAGTTCGTGGATGACAAACGAAGCTAGGTGTACTTAAATTTGTACTTGAGTCATTTTTAATACACCATAAACTGTTCGTGGAAGACACCCACTATCCAGGATGCTACGTCTAAGCTCTGGCATAAAGCCAGAGACCCTCCTGCAACTTACAAGTTAAATAAATCTGCGAAATCTAAAAATAAATTTCGGATGAATACTATATTACAGTCCTCCCTGAAGAATGCATATATTCACTATTTTATCTCATATTATCCTCGATAACTAATTTTCCCTTTTATTTCCTGCACTATTCTTCGTAGCTTTGCGTCTATCGTGATGATCGTACGATTTTTGATAATAAATAAATTTACATCAAGTCTTGAAAATTATTCGAGAAGAATCTCGAATAATTTTCAAGACTTGATGTCAATTTATTATCGGAGAAAAAGACGATTTATGAAGGAGCAACCATATATTCTACCTACTACTCATTTGTCAAGATGTCCACTACATTATTTTGATCTACCACTTTGACTTATGTCCCTTAAGCGCTTTTAACTACCGTTCACTGAACCTTGACTGCGGCTTTGTTAACAAGGTTTGGCCGGTAGAGGGTCCGCAGTAGTCCCATTGGCATTACCTTAGTATTGCTGTACAACTACTACACAAGTTTACTTTTATTATAATTGGGGGATTTTAATATCGATTGGGCGCAACTGTCGTATCTGATTAAGCAGTTTTTTAATTGGTTTTGATTCGTCATCTTCCCATGGTAGCTAAATCTAGATTGGGCGCAACTGTCTTTATATTCGCACTCAGCCCTCATTTATTACCTTAGTTGTAGTGTACGTACGGAACGTTCATTAAAAATTTTCTGTACATGCGTTCACTAAAACTCATCACGTTCTGAACGTAGTGAATACATTGTGTGATCATTGACTCATGGCGACTAAGTCAGAAATATACTCTCTCGCGCGACGCGCGTAGAAGCATTTCTCGCCAACCGCCATGTTCTAGAACACAAATAGGATTGCCTCATTTTGTATCAGTCTGTAAAATTGATAATTATCAGTCTGATAAAATAACATAGATCAAAAATTGGCATACATTTTTATTTTTGATAATCACTGACGTTCACTAACGTTCAATAAAAAAAACCGGAACATGCGTTCAGTACGACAAAATCCACCGTTCACTACAACTAAGATTTATTATCTTTAAGTTCAACCAACTCATCTTTATTCATTTAACACCTTTTTTTTTGTTAATCGCTATGCAAGTTCTATACGCTAGGTATACTTGTAGTCTTGTAGGCACTATACTATTACTATGCCTATAGAATTAGACACAGCCTCTCTAAAATAAAACAACGGTCAAATCTTCAGAGAATTGGACCCTTATTTCCGGTCGGATAGGATACCCTCAAAAATGTTCCATCAGTTTTTAAGATAAAGATAAATCGATTTAAAAGAAAGGCGGGTATAAGACATCACACTGCACACGCACGTGGACCTCATCCTTCTTAGGCTCTTTCAGAAATCTACTTTTGGTACACAGTCCAGCCTGTCACATCGTGCTGGGAGCACTCCCAACATCCACACTGGATATTAGATTATTGAGCTAACAGTTCTACAGAAAACGTTTTGAATATTATAAATATCACCTTATTTTCTTATGAATATTGTAAAATATTGTTAACTCGCGATCAAAACGTGAGTTTTTTTAAAACAATCAGCAATGCGCGGAAGGAAGTAGAATGGTTCAGATATTTGTACGATCTCGTGAGGTATTTTTTCTGTTTCATTTCTCAGACCGTACCGTTTTTCTTTTAACTGATAAGGTTTGAACTGTATACTTTCCATGAAGTACTAGATCAACCCCATTTCCTAATCAGTAAAGTTAATAAAGTTAAAAGGAGTATTTTTAAGAAGCAGTTCCCTCTTCCGGAGAAGATTCGCCATATTTGAGCTCTATACAAAATTATAGAATTGAGTTTAAAAGCCACATACACGCAAAGGATAAAGCTAACTGGTCATGGGACCAAATGAGATAAGTAATCGGATTGGGCATCAGTTGTGCCTTCTCCGTTCTCGGGCCGGTAGTAAACGGAACATAATTATAGCAGCCGGTCACGTTGTTGTACTTTCTAGAAAAGATTACTTAAAAGTTTAACACTGCCCCTTATCAGTTGTCAGGAACATTTTCCTGGCCCATATAAAACATCGTGATTTTCGTAGGCTAGCATGCACGGCCATTTCTCTTCAAGAATTTATTTTTATTACATCATAAATCGGGGCGCGGTAAATCGGGGTTTTACTGTATTTCGTATTTCTTTCTGTTACTAAGTTTGAGCTTGTTTTAACAGGATTTATCCTAATAAAAACTTAGATTTGAATATTAATAAACCTTACTTTGTATTCATAATAGTACAAATTTATCCAACTTAATAAATAAAACTGATAAAACTGACAAATTTTATCTCTAGCTTAGAAGCAAAAATAAATATGGGTTGTAAATGTGGAAGCGGATGCAAATGCTCCAACTGCTGCAAATGTCCTAATGGCTGCAAATGCGGTAAGATATTACACCTTTTTAATTGTTATTACTTATTCATATTTTGAAAACTAATTATATGAACAGTTCAATCAAAGTGGATGTTTTTAGGAATCGCCCTTCTTCGGACTGTTCTCCGATAACATCCCTTAACACTCGAGTAACATTAATATTAACTAATATTTTCAGGAAAGAAATGCTGCCCATGCTGCAATTGCTCTTAAACAGATCGGAGAGAGATTATTGCTACGCACTGGACCTCTCATCATCCGACAAAGAGATCCTTAATCGAATAGACTCTTTTTTAGAGATCTTTATTTTTTTGAAAAATGGTCGTTGACTTAAGAATGTAGATTTGATTGACAAATCCTATAATTTGAGTTTTTCACTTCGTTTCTGATACAATAATTCGATGAATAGAATTTGGCACATAATTTCAAATCTTCTCAAATTCCAATAAAAACATAATGTCTGTAATAACGGGTCCATTAAACATGATAATATGTAAAAAATAAATAAAAGTGATAACAAACCAAGGGAAAGATGTTCGATGATAGCACTCCTTACAGTACACAGCGGAGGGTAGAGCAGCAGCAAGTCACTCAGCTTCTCCCCCTTATCTGCCAACTTAGCCTCCAACTTGTCACAAGTTTCCTGTCTGAACTGCTTTACTCGCTCGCTCTCGTCGTTCAATGTCTCGCATGCTGCGAACAGAGATGGTGAGAGCTACAATCTAGGCTATTTATATCTAACATCCCTACGGTATAGTAGTAGCTGTAAGGTTTAGGAGTAAATGGGTGGATCTTAAATCTAAAAAATCTGCCATTTATCCGTCCGCAGTACTCACCTTAAACCTGACAGCTGACAAGAAACATTTAATTCTGAGTGTGTTCCCGGATGAGGAGCACGCATATTTTAAGGAACAGAGAACTTTTAATTTCAATGATAGTACCTATTGGCTCGAGCTGGTAAGTCACTCTCTGATGTCAAACATATATCAGAGGCAATGGTTACATGCGCGCATGAGTATATTATTGAAATCAAAAATTATCCAGAGTAGATCAGTGGATCATGTAAGCTATCCAACTGAATATACATTATGATATTCTTCTTTGTTCAAAGACATTAGATATAGTGGGTATTGTATACTTTAGGTAACATTCATAAGAAAAACTTTGTTTGAAGATTTCAACGGGTCTGATAAAATTGTTAATTATTGCCACCAGATGGACGAATCTAAATGAAGTTTTCCCGCGGTTTGATTCCTCACCCTTGCAATGACACAGAACCTAATCTAAAATTGAAGGACACAATTAAAAAGGGATATGATTGGTACGGGTCCTGTTACATTGTATTGTCATCATTTAGACCAAATAAGGAAATTACAGCCATACATTACTTAATTTATCGCTTTTAACTTATTAAAACAAAATATCTCTTGCGAAATGATGTTACAATAACTAACTCAGGACACTATTTTAACCAATCATATTTGGCTAGCCCTACCATCATCATGGAAGTTGCCAATAAGTAAAATCCTTGTTTCCTACCAATATCATGAGCACTTGAGACTACTGTGGGGGCGACACGAGTTTATTTTTAAAGTGACAGTGATTTGAGTCATGTCACTTTCTCACGTGCCCGATTTATATTTCACAATAACCCTGCATTACATCATCACCGGTGGTTACCTTCATAATCCGAGGAGCTGTTTAGTAAGCTAATATCAAAGCCAACATAAAATGTAAATTTCTTTAAGTTACTAAGAACAATTCTTACAAGGATCGAAGAGGATAATAGCCATGAAAAGCTCCAGCTCCTCGTCGTTGGTGATCAGGGTCTGTAGAGGAGACACCAGCTTGTCCAGGATCAACTTTCCTACTTTCTGTACAACTTGCTGTAAGGTTAACATGTGTTAATTGAGAGAGGGGTAAGTTTGGAGGTAAGAAGACTGTAAGTCGTGGGATTAGTGGGATACATACGACCCCATAATTCCTTGAACAATGACCATGTAAAGCGAATTTAGAAGTTTTCTGACGAAAAACACTACAATGAATGAAATATCTATTTTTCTTTATACTAGGAAACAGGCTACCAGTTTATCTATTTCTGACGTCTCATTAGGTATCCATTAACTCTTCGCTTTAAATCTAGGCCAGGCTTCTTTGTTTTTAAACAAATTCTTCGCATTTCGGACTAATGAACCAACTAAAGTCAGCAAGTAAGTCAAGTTCCGAGGAACTTCTCTAATCAGCAGACATGCTATACTAGGTTTATTAATTCTTTAACAGATCATAAGCATAGCTCCTTAGTCCTTGGTAGTAATTTCTAATCCTATACTACATTTCTTGATTCTTTGCAAATCCTGGAATCAAGTTTCATTGAGTCAGTTTTATTATAAAGTACTGAGCGTACTAGTTTGATGTTTAGCCAATGACCAGAAGTCATTAAGATCATTAAATAAACTACTATATGGACACGTTCATTTGAGTTTGAGGATATTGGTAAATATAAGTGACCCTATTAAAAGGCACAGTGTAGTTGACTTTGTCACACTATGAAATTACACAAACCCTTGATGGTTAGGATAATCGTTTCATCCTCTAGGCTAACTTTGTCACTTAACGATATCTTAATCAGGTGATAAGATATCGCTTAAATACGGCCGGCACGGAAATGGTTACATTGTCACACTATAAACATGTGACGGAGTAAATATGGACCCCTTGCTGCCGTTTTTGACCAAATTTTTGGGTGTCCAGTTGATTGGATGGGTACATATGACCATTACCTACATATTTGACGACTTTTTTCGTTAGATGGTGCACTCAGGTTTACTCTGTCACACATTTAAGAAAACATGTGAAGAATGTTTAGGGCACCCTGATAAGCAATGCTGAGTAGTGTAGGTTTATTTGATGGCCTGGAAGTGCTAGGAATTGTTATTATATCATATAGTCGTAAGGAATTAAAACACAGAAGGCACAAACAAGTTTACTTTGTCACATAATCTTGATGATATCTGAACATGTGTGAAATTAAACAAATAATGATATACCAGCTTAAACCCCTTATATTACATACGGGGTTTAAGCTGGTATGTCAAGTTTTATAAATCAAGATTAAATATTTGGGGTAAATATGGTAGTGATATTTATGATGAATTTATTGAAATGTTTCAATCACCTAATATTATTTTGTAATTTGTATCGACATATATCGTTTTTCAGTTATATAAGTTACCTAATATCTATTAATTATTCTAGTATTTGTGATTAATTTGTATTGATTTATTATTTGTGACTTATAAATTAGTAACCATTATTTTACCGTCTAAAAAATTTTTTTTGTCAAAAATTAATTTTATGAAGGAGTAAGTTGACAAAAGATGCGCATTCGTATATTCATTTATTGCATGTTTAATTTTTTTTTTTTTTGTGTTTAATTTACGATTATTTGCATTTGAGATTCTGCGATTTAATTTATTTTGTTGATTGTAATGTTGTGATATTGCATAATTTATTGTAAATGTAATATATGTTTCAGAAAATTATGTAATGTAATGCGATGGAGGTTCTTTAAGCAGGCAATTCCAGTCCAAACCCTGGAAACATGACATAAAGGATTTGTTTTACTTGTTGCATGAAAAGCACTAATATTTAGTGATCTACTGTGGCTGTTTCTGCGCCCTGCTTGGTCAATGATAGCTTAGCTATCTTTTTTCTGCATGAAGTCGGAACAATCTTTTGATGATCATCAGAGTATAAATGATCCAGAATCTCTTGAAACCTTTAACATAGTACCATGTGATAGAAAATCATGCGTTACATGCTTAAACCGCCTTTCTTTTGACAACTTCTACACTAATAGCACTACAAACTCTACTTTCCTCATTGACTTTAATGGATCATGTCAAACGAAGAATTGCATCTACTTGATAAAATGCTTGCATAAAGATTGTAAATATCAATACATTGGGCACACGATCAATTCAATTGCTTCTAGAATAAGCCAACATAAATCTACTATAAAACGTGGTGGAGGCTGCAAAATACTTCGTGATCACTTCACTAAAATTCATAGCACTGAAAACATGGCTATCATGCCGATTAAACTCTTACCTAATAATACTACATTGAAAGAAAGAGAAGACATTGAAGAAGCTTGTATGTTGCAGTTAAATACAGTTTTCCCATATGGTCTCAACGTTCGTGTTAAAAAGAAGAACATACTAGATGCCTGCAATATTGTGATGAACTCTAAAACAACGATTTATAGTCAGTTCGATATAGTTAAAATAAATAGACATTCACGTGGAGGTAGATTCATTAGTAATATAGTAAGTGAAAGACAAGAATTTGATATCGATGTATTTTATGAAGATTTGCTGGATGATGATAATATGATTGATATGCATGATATTCGTACTAATCTATGTAATCTTAAAAAGAAACAACTTAAGTTAGTATATATTAAAGCTATATCTTATATTAATAATTTTAATAGTAGTATAACGACATATAGATTTCATAAAATTCTCTTAGTTAAAGATTTATCATGGTTTTACCTTACAAGAATGGGTTTAGCGTGTAAGAATAATAGTAAATCAAATTCTTTTATTGTAGTTAATTATGTTAATAAATTTGTCGAGTATATTGATTTTCGAAAGATATTTAAAATGGAACAAGTTACTAAAGCTGCACCATTCAAGTCAAAGTATCATCAGCAACCTACATTGTCCTACAAATACCCTCCAACAATCAGATCTAAAGTACTTAACTACAAAAAAGTATATAATGAAGCTAACATTGACTCAGAAACATTGAAATGTAATTGTGCATCAAGTCGTTATACAGACCCTACTCATAAACATGTCATTACAGGAGAGCTATCAATGATCAGTAATGATAAACTTCGTAATCTCCTAATGAAGGGATTAAATTATAGAGACCAAGCTAAACCATGTACTGAAAAAGCTTTAAAATCAGTAAAGACGGCACTCAAAAGCTATTGCGATAAATTGTCTAATTTATGGCATAAACCTATAGAAGAGTTTCAAGAGTGGAAAACACTAATCATAGAGCAAGTGAAAATTCAACTGCAAGGAGCTAAACCATATCCCTATTATTCAGTATTATCAGATGTTGAAGTCTTAGCAGATTTAGATGAGCTTCATAAAGATTTTGTATTGGTTCCTACCGATAAAGCCAAAAATAATATTACTATTGTTTGTAAAAAGTTCTATATTAGTATGATTGAAAAGGAATTATCATCGAATACATTTACTAAAGTTAATCGTTCAGAAGATGATATAATTAATGAGCATAAAGCATTCTTACTTAAACATCGTATTAAATTTGATGAAGATAATAGCA